GTGATCTCTCTGATTCATCTGATCTGGAGCAGGATGAATTGGAACATCTTCTCCAAGACTCCTCATTTCTCATGAGTCCCACTAAAATTCTTCCTGCTGGTACAACAAACATTTGATGGTGATGAAAAAGCACACAACAATGACCATGAAGAAGAATGGAAAAACAATTTCACTCAGTATCAATCTCCTTGTATCAGGAATGTTGTGCAATTCTTTCTTGAACAAGTAAAAGACACAAGTCCACCCAAGAGGAGAGGAGATCAGCTCTGTATAGGAGGAGTACTAATAGTACTGGTGGAAGTATCATTCATGATTATCTCCAACAATGAAGAGTCATTTGATGGGTTTCATTTGAGGATGTTGAGACTGCTGGTAACAGTCAAATACTGTCAACAAAGCTTGAATTAGTGTCATGTTGACATGGAATGGCAAGAAGTTAATGGGTGATGATGCAGAGGAGTGGGCTCCTCCCCCCTCTGCCCAGTATACATCACCTGGAGGAGGTGCAACCCCAGGTCCCACCCATGCTGTAAGGACTAGTACATTGGATGGCTGCACTAATAGTAAGGTGGAAGGGTTGGCACATTTGTTCTTGTTCTTGTTTAATGAAAGAATCCTTCAGCTGATAGCAAATGATCCCAAAAAGCTAACATTTGAATGGACTGGAAAGCTCCACATGATGAAGGTTCCAAGCCAGAGTGGATGCCAAAGCTTTCAAACAATGGAAAATACCACCCTTGTGATTGTGGGAGGTGTTTCTTCTGTGTGAACAAAATTACAAGACCACCATTCTTGCTCATGGAAAGGTAGTAACTTCAAAGCCACAGGAAGAAATTTGCAGTGGCAAGTATGAAGGAGTGAAGAGGAACCAAGGTGTTGTCTGTGTAGAAGAAGAAGCAAAGGATAGTAGGAATCCTAACTCATCACCAGTGAGGAGATTGAGGAAGTTACCATGGATTAGTGTGAAAATGTCAAGGAATAGTTGCAGAAGTTGCAATGTTGCTTTTATGTAAAGAGCATTGGAGTAACTTTAGCCATCAAGTGTACATTTATATTCTGTAGGAATCAAGTTATCTGATTGGCTAATTAGAAGTTTACATCATTCATAAGGTTCATTACACTGGTCTGAAGCCAAAATGCAGAAAGGAAACAGACCAATTTCAAGGGGGTAACCATTTTTGACAATTTTATTTATTCTAAATAGCCAATCAGATTGCTTGATTCTAACAAGTATCACCAATTAAAAAATTCAGCAAATGCTGGGCACGTGCATTATGTATATGGTGGATAGTGGATAGTCATTATACAAACAATAAAGGCCCAAAATCTATGACTGGTGCGTTCATTGGCTGGTGGCCAAGCCTATACAGTATGATGAATCTACCCACCAAGAAATGTTGGCCCTACGCTTTCCATCATACTCTGCTGTGTTTTCTCAATATGTTGCCACAACAAACACAAACTCAGTCTCCCATCCAACTTGCTACTGGCAAGAAGGAAAATCTATTTAACTTCAAAACCTTTGGTTGCTGAGTTTGGGTCTGCTCTCCAGGAAGACAAACTGCCAAATTTAAAAAAAATTAAAAAAAGGCATATTCCTTGGATATCTCCAAGATACTACTACATGCAATATACTATGGTACACCATGTTCACTAATCGCATTAAAATCACATCCCATGCTTGCTTCAACAATGGCATGAACAATATACCAATCCAAGATATTCCACCCAATTTTGTCCATTAACAACAAGGCTCTGAGAACAGAATGCACATCCCTGAGGACAACAGCCAATCAGTTATGCTTTTATGTCATTCCATTCCAACATAACCTCACAAAGCAAATTTTGTGTCAAATGTAAAGGTCCAAGATTTGGTCTACAGCTAGAAGTAAAAGAAGACAAACTAAATGGCTATGCTTTCTTCCATGATACTAGAAACAAAAATTCCAGCACTGGTTCAATATTCTCCAACTACTGCTTCACATAAAATAAAGTTCACAATGTGTTCACCATCATATCAATAAACAGTAATCAACCACAAACAGTAACCAAGTCTTCAACAAGAAATCCTTGAAGATAAAGCATCTAGCACTGGTTGATGGAAAGAAATCAATGAATACAACCTAGATGCTCTGTCCAATATGGATGACTGCACTGCAGAAATTACATGCAATTACTGCCATGTGCACAGGCTTGAAAATCCCCCAACACCTCATCTCTGATGAAATGATATGCCTTGCCATGATGCCCTCACATCTCCTCAAAGAACAACAGAAGAAGAAGAAGTACTTGGTCATTTCATGTGTTGAAAACTCAAGCAACTTGACAACTGGAATGAATGGCTTATTGCCAAACTTAAACAGCTTGACCAGTCTTACAATCCTGAAATGTATTGTAAACCTACTCCAAGACCACCAAATTCAATTTTGTTACATACACACTACCAATACCAAGTTTGCAAAACCAGTGAACACCAATTGCACAACTGATGCAATGGGTCAAAATGTTCTGCCCCATAATTATATGCAACTGCTTCAACCTACTTCTCATGCGTTGAACAACCTATTTGACAAATGTTCTTCACATTAACAGCTGCTACTCTGAACAACAAATTAAATGCTGGGTGGTGGACATGTCAAAGATGCTTACACTCACTCCCCAGCTCTATAGGTACCAATTTGCATCACCATCAATGGTCCATACACTGACTGTTACAAATGGAAATTTGGAAAACAGCTTGACACCCTGAATCTGGACAACTCTGTGAAGAGCATACAAACACAAACTACTCTCATCCTCAGAACTGAAGTTTATGCAAATGACTCATGACAAGTGCATTTACCAAACCAGATACAAAAATACTCATTCTATGACAAGTTGTCACTTTCTGATATTTTCTCAAAACACCACTCTTTCAAATGAAATCTACAACATCATCAGTAAGAAATAGCAATTTCCAAAAGAACAAAATATACCATTCAAAAGGCTGGGACTGCATACTATATATCAAGCAAACCAAACACTACATTGAAATTTCTTGTGACGATTTTATTGACAGAATTCCCTGTTTCCATAGTTGGTCAGAACTAAAGGATCAATTGCTCAGTTGCCCTCCTACTCCACTTCCCAAAAATTCATTGGGTTGTATCTTCAGTGAAGAAGGTCCCCCTGAACACAAGAAAGTGCACCATGGATTTGTATACTGTGCACTTCTAGTAGGCAAATCCTTTATGTCTACAATGTCTGCTATCCCAATATTGGATTAGTCATGTCTACAATGTCCAATGTCTCATCTCACCCAGCAGACATACACTTCAAATACCTCAAAGGTATTGCCTTACATCATTGCCAAACAAAAACATGGAGCTTATGCTATCACAAATCCTCTGATAATCCTGATTCTGACCTTCTAGTAGATGGAAATTTTAATGATCCACCAACCTCTCTGTAAGATCTCTGTAAGACAACCTAAGAACATGAATAAGAAACAAGGGACTTGTTCTCAGGAATCACGGATTAGGTTCAGGACTCACGGAACAGATTAAGATATTATCCATACACTAACATAATACATGTACAATTCTTACTATCCATACGTATGTCAGAAGGCCAGCAGAGGCAAAACTGGATTACATAAGCCACACAAAATGATTGATCTATGTATACTGACACAGTGATAGCAAGAACCTGCTCAAAGGAATGAATACTAATAAAAGAATTACACGTGATATTTATTCCAATGAGCAAGCAATGATGTATCCATATGGATAGCAAAGGGAGTAACAAAGACATCCTGTTGCCCAAATGAAATCATAAGGAACAAACCACCAATCAAGGCTCAAATAATGAAGCAAGTCTCAAAAGAAGATTGATTTGCTTTGTGAAAGATCGTTGTAACCAATATTTTTTGTAGCTGTTAAACATATTCAATAACATTTACTATCTAACTAGTATTACTGTATTGGAATAATTTCTTACAACCTGCCACCATCTCCATCTTTACCCACAGATTCAACCATCACATGCCTTATTTTTGGACAGATGCTGCATATGCAAACATAAAATCCAAAGGTAGTAAATCCATAACTGGATTTGCAATCATCTTAGCCAATGATGCCATCGTCTACAGATTGAAAACCCAAACACAAGCAGCCCTCGGCTCTGCTGAAGCTGAATTCTATGCTGCTGTCTCTGCTGCAAAAAGTGTTCAACATCTCTGATCAGTCCTCTCTGACTTGGGATTTCCTCAACAATAACCAACAACATTAGATGAGGATAATGACTCTACTACCATCAAAATTGTCAACTCTTGAGTACCAATTGAATGAGCACAACACATCAAGAAACCATATGTTGTAATCCAAGATTGGAAATAAGATTCATATCAAGATGAAGTTCATTAAGGTGCACAAGGTGACAGTGAACAAGCATCTCAAGGCAGAGATGACAGTAGTGGTAGATCATCACTAAGAAGGTACATATCACCACCAGTCTACATTGACTTCGAATATGATTGGCATAAGCCAGTTACCGTTCGAAAGAAGCACATAATTACATCTTTGTGAAGAGCCCATTGTAAAATGAGAAACTTCTTCCCCAAGGCCATGGCACTGATAACATGAAGATTAACCACGAAGGTACGCAATATTGTTACTGCAACGACGAAATCTCAACTTTGCCTATTCTTATCTTTTTCATTGCACAGGCTATGACTTTCGCGAGACCAACATACCCGAGACATCCATCTATACTAGAAAGACTAAAGGAGAGCTATGACGTTATTGTTGTTTTGCATGGTGTGGTACTGACACCGTGGTAGTAAAGTGCAAAAATGCCTGATTGTTGATCTGTTTGAGTGCATGCAGTCCTTACGTGACGGTGAATGCGTGAAATCAACTCCATTCAAACTCCGGTCTCGGACTCAAATATGAAATAGCAGCAGCAGCCAAAACTTTTCGCAGAGTCTATTCCAACTCTTCTTTGGTGAGAGTATAAGTCACGGCTTTGAAATATTTTGATTGCTGTTTTGAAATAGCTGCACGCTTAGCTTTGTTCACATCTCTAGAATGTAATGCCGCCGTCGCTTCCCGTGCTGGAAACGCTACTACGGGATCCACCGCTAACGTCCAGATTGTTTCGGGACTTGAAAATTCTGGATCCCATGATTCGGCCTCCGCTGGAGGTAGATTCGTCCAAAAGATCCAGCGTGTTGGTCGACATCTTCTGAAAGGACTTACGCCACGAGTCGCGGAGTTTGTGGGTCTTTTTGGTAATGGGTTTGACCGGTTGTCTGGGACCATCGTTGCTGACACCACTGCTGTCGAGACTATTCATGCTGTTCGTCCGGCTGTTGTTAGCACCGTGAACACAAAAGTCGTCGTCGACCATGATTTCGTCCTTGCGACTGCCCGTGCGAAGATTGCTCAGCGACAACTTGCTCAGCGTCTTCTTGAAGCCCTTCATCTTCCAATCCCAGTAGGGATGGTCGCCCGATTTCGACGAGCGCTCACCCGCGTGTTGCTTGGACATCGCACTCATGTCAATCTGACTTAGCGTCTTTCCTTGCAGGGATCTCTCGATCGGAGCATCATCCCAATAGGAAGGAGCTGTTTCGGACGAGGGTTCTTCCCCCGTAGATTCTGTTTCCAGTGTGTTGATGTTGATCGTACTCAATGTCTTTCCCTGCAGTTTTCGTTCCTCGGGAGCATCCCAGTAACTATCGTTCTTTTCTTTTTTTTCGTCCGGATGATTGGACTCCAGTGCCGACAATTCTAGCTTGCTTAGGGTCTTTCCCTGTAGCGATCTATCAACGGGAGCTGCATCCCAATACGAGTCTTTCTTTTTCTGTTGTTCTTCGGGATTGTTGGCCTCCATCAAGGACATATCAAGGGTACTCAGCGTCTTACCCTCCAGACCTCGTTCCGGTGTGGCTTCCCAATAGCTATCATTTTTTCCCTTGTTTTTGTCGGGGTTAACCTTCTCGAGCATGCTCATGTCCAAGGTGCTAAGGGTCTTTCCCTCAAGAGAACGCTCCTTGGGAACGTCCCAGTACGAGGGCTCCGTGTCGGGCTCCTCTGCGCAAATTGGCGTTTTTGGTAGCGATTTCGAAGGAGATGTTTTCACATCCTCGCCATTCGTAGTTTTGTCGGCAGCTCCAAATACGGCCATGTCCATAGTACTTAGGGTCTTTCCATCCAGGCCTCGTTCCGGTGTGGCTTCCCAATAACTATCATTTTTTTCCTTGTCTTTGTCGGGGTTTGCCTTCTCAAGCATGCTCATGTCCAAGGTGCTTAGGGTCTTTCCCTCGAGAGAACGCTCCTTCGGGGCGTCCCAGTAGGAAGCCCCTCCTTCCCCGTTGTCCGTCGTGTCTTCCTTGTTCGGCATGGCTCCGGCCTCGTCTCCTACGGCTTGGGTGTCCTCTTGTTGTGGCGGCATCTTAGTTCGTTGTTGCTACGGTGCGAGCAAGAATATGTTCTGGGGTTTGTGAAGCAAAGCTTGCTACGACTTCTTAGCGCTACGTGCCGTAGTCTGGAATGAATCTGTGTTTGTGTAAGCGTGGGTGCATGCCATACGGTCGGCGGAACGATGGCTGCAACGCATCGGTTCTTTTTCTTCTTCTTTTCTTTTTGCAGCATTAGTCGTCGCCGTATCAGGCCAGCGGTCTGTCAGCAGTCTGTCAGCATATTTGTCATCGACAGAAACGGGGCCCAGTGAATTTACGATTCATCATAAATCCTAAAAAAACGTTACTTCTGGTACTGAACGTACGAGCTATTGTACAGTCAGACATGACGGTGCGAGCACGCGAAAAGGCCACTCTCTCGTTCATTCATTGGAAGAAGTTTCGGAGTTAACACGAGATTCCCGGACCGAAAAGGTATCATTGCAAGCACTATTTGCAGTTTGCTAGACCAATCCCAAGACGATTGGCAGGAACTGGTCTTCGGGTCCTGCGAAGATGGCAACGCAGTTCCAGATGTCAGTAAGGTGACGTCACATAGGACCATCCCCGAATCGAAAGGTGAGGAAGTAGAACCCTAAAACTCCGGCACTCCAATTATTCCTACTTGCAGATCCGGAATTTTTGCAAGGTTCCGTCACGCTGACAAAATTATTACAGTAGGTTTTTGAATTGCAATGCAGTAAAAATATTATGGACGAAAAATGGTGTCTATTGACAAAATTCTACAAGCACCCCCAAAATTCACGAAAACTTCTTAAAAGACCCTTTGATGTTCATTTAAGGTTATACGGTACTTGGTACCTGGTACCTGTACGAAGCGTACGTGCGTTATCCGTCCCGTACGTACGGTAGTACGGGTACGAGACGGGGCACGCAAAACATTATGGTGCATCAGATTCAGATGGATGTCAGATGTCACACATAAATATTTCCCCCGAAAGATCGTTCATATGTACGGTACCTTAGATATGACCACCAATACTACGTACCGTACCATACAACTGTCCTGCATCCTGCAAAAGATATCCAGTATCCTACGTACTATGAATACCATAGAAGAGACTCTATCCTACGGTACCGGGTTCGTTAACTTCAATCGGGAATAAGAGGACAATGGATCCCGAATTGCTAGTAAAAACTTGTACCGCTACAAAAGAAAAGTACTAAGTACTGTACCTTACTACAGTACAGTAACCAATAATTTCTCTCTGAACCCAAAATGGGTTTAGATTACGTACCGTTACCTGCGCTACAGTGTAGTACCGTGGGGGTATCAGACCATAATGCAACAAAAAATGCAACAGTATAGAATCATGTACAAGTCTACGTACGTACACCTCGCTATTATCCTACTCACCAGCACAGTATCGAAATCCCTCAACTGATGCCCATCAGTTGAGAATAATTACTGACACAATTTTCAATAAGGCAAATTCTGTGAAAAAAACACAACTTGTGAAGGTAATTCTCGACAATATCACGTCACGACAATGACAATGGCAACGCCATCTTCTTATCAGCTATTCAACTTTCTCCTCTTGTTGAGGCAATCAAGCAACAAAGCAGTCACAGTTACTACTAACAAGAATACTACTAACAAGAAAAAGCAGTCACACTTGATACTATTTTAATGAAGAAATGAATCGAATCAAAGCAAAGCAACCGAAGCAACGGATTGAAGCAAAGCAACMAAAGCAATGAATCCAAGCAAAGCAACCAAAGCAAAACAACCGAAGCAACGGAAGCAATGCAGCAACGAAGCAATTCAAGCAACTGAAGCAAAGCAGCAAGCAACAGAAGCAACGGAAGCAATGCAATGCAGCAAGCAACAGAAGCAACAAATCGAAGCAAAGCAACCGAAGCAATGAAGCAACAGAA